TCGCCTTAGATACAACCAAATCAACTTACTCATTATCAAACTCCTTTATATAAAATTAATCTCATAAATCTGATTTTACCTGACATTTCCCAACATCCCACGAGTTAAAAGTTTTAGAAATTCTCTTTCTTTTTCCTTCAGTTCCAAGTTGGGCTGGTCCAACCTGGAATTCCTGTGGATGATGGACCTCCCACTCACAGCCCCAGATCAGGGCAGCTGAGCCTTTACCCACCCAAATATTGTCTGGAATATCCATTGAGAGGGTGGAGGTGCTTCACCTCCTTGGTGACCTGTGCAAGGGCTGCAGAGAAATTTGGGGAAAGGAGCTTTTCCTCCTAAAAGCCACCTTGAACATCCCAGGCAGCAATTTGTGACTGTTGCCCCTTGTTGGACTGTCTGCTACCTCTTACCTCTCTTCTGTCCTCTTTGTCATTGCCCTCCAAGTAGAGTAGTTGTTGGTAAATCCATCCTTCAGCCTTCATCTGATTAACTCAGCTCAGATCCTGTTGTTTGAGGTGATTTTTTGCTTTTTGAACTATTTATTGTTGTTTTTTCGTCTTCTCAGGGTTGAGCTTCTTGGGATACTCCCTCGCAGGGAGTTCCTTTTATTTCAGCTCTGTTTCAGGAAGGATGCTCTAAAATCATGTCTTGTTTCTCTCATGCTTATTCATGTATAATCAAAAGGCTTGGCAAGGCTTCCCCAGACTTTTTTGTTCAAGTTGCCCTCCATTGCACGGCTCACTTTGCCTTGAAACGCACAAAATGGCCCTGAACTACGCAGTTCCTTTATCTTTATACTTATTTTTATTCAATTAACAATAGACACATAAATTATATTTTTAATGACCCAGTGACCCATCACCTGTGTGCTGCATTGTGGCATTGTCTATCCAATCACTCACTATTACCCAAAAACCTCTAGAAGATGATGAAGAAGAAAGAAGAAGGAAAAGACAACAAATAAATCTTAAATCTTCCATCTTGTCTTCTGTTTTCTAAACTAGTTTAAACTCTAAACTTTAACTTTTTCACTCAGTGACTCAAGAAAACTCAAATTTACACACACTTTTAGTTTTCCTATCTAACTTTAACAGTTGTTTTCATGTATCACCATGAAAACACGCCCATAAATTTCATGTTGTGTGAAATTCAGTGTTCTCCTGGATGTCAGAGCTAAGTATCAGAGATAAGGACACACACTCTGTGTCTCAGACTCCAACAAGATCCCACCACTTCTCCTCGTCCTCCCTGTGATCCAGGCATGACCATGGAAGTGCTTCACCCCTGGAAGTGTCCAAGGCCAGGCTGGACGTGTCTTGGAGCAGCCTGGGGCAGCAGAAGGTGTTTGGAACGAGAAGGGCTTTGTGATGCAGCCCAAACCATTCCATGATTCCATGGTCTTGGTCATCCTCCGGTTGTTCAGCATCTCAGGATCTTCCTGGCTAGAGGGAGAGAAGCCACAGCGGACACGGGGTGAGGCAATGAGAGGTTTTTCTCCAAGAGCTGAGAAGTTATGGCTGTGTTCTCCTGAAAAACTTGGCCCAAGCACCCCTCAGTCCTGAGCAGGAGGATGAATCCAGATCTTGTGGCCTTGATCTCTTCTCCACAAGAACTCAGCCGCTCTGCGCCGGGCACACTTTGGGTGCTGGGTTACTGACAGGGAGGGATTTGCATTTCTCTGAAACAAAATTTATAGGAGGTTTATGGTCCCTTTCAGGAAATATCTGATATTTTTCAATCAAGGCTAACCAGCAATTAAAGGGGGTGGACGCTTTTATACCGCACTCCTGGATATTTTGGTGCTTTGCAAAGGTCACACTGCTCCCACTAATCTTCTTTTGTGGATGGGAACGGGGCCAGTTCTGGTTCATTTATTGCACTGAGTATTTTTTAAAGCTGAATTGTTTATTGTGCATCGGATTTTAATTTGCTTAGTGCTTTCCTGGGATTCTGAGTTACGTTATTTGTCAGGAAAAGGACTGTAAAATTATAACTACTGGGCCCAGCGGATTCCCTGATGTAGCACTTCAGTGCTGATATGCAAAGATTACGAAATAGTCAGTGCTCAAACAGAGCATTGTGAGGTGTGAGGATTTCCTCACAGCAACTGGAATAGGAGGGAATTTCTTAGGGAGAAACTGCAGAAAGCTGTGCAGGGCTGAAATCCCCATCCCAGTCTTCAACTGCTGGGTGAGAAGAACGATTCTGTGTCTCTCTAGATGATTTCAATGTGTGCACCAAAGCTGGGTGGAGAAACCCTCCCAACAAGCAGCGGGTTGGGAGTTCCTGTGGTCTCTTACCACAAAAAATACGTTCTAGAGAGGGAATTCAGTGCTGGACAATTTTCGAGGACGAGATGGAAATGAGAAAGAGTCTGAGGAAAAAAAATCAGTCTTCAGTGTCTTGTTGGGTGAAAGAGAGTCTGTGGGGCTGAGTGGAGACCTGGCCCAGGGTCTGTGTTGCACAGCTGAGGAATTTCAGAGGTTGCTGTCGACTTCTGAGGCCACCACTCAAATCCTGAGCGTGCTGAGGCACCAGCAGAAACCCTGGCACCTCAAACGAGCGTTCCCTGTGAGCCTCCCCCAAATCTAACCGCACTGCTAGTTTTATTTTTGGTGTTTTTGGACAACAAAAGCCCCTTTGGCAGAGCACCAGCGATGTCACGGAGCAGCACTGCCGTGGCCATGAGCACACACCGAGTCCTTGAGGGATGTTCCTTGTGGGACAGGTCTGGGAGAACCCCAAGTGTCCGTGGTGATTAATTAAACCCTTAATTACAGGTTGCACACGCCATCTCAGCTCTAGCTATGCTGTATCCCCACAATTCCTCTTTGTATCTGCAAAAGGGCCTTGAAATCCTGCCCAGGGGGGAAAGGGATTTCCTTTTTCTTTCTGTTTTTATGTCTTTGAGTGATTTTGGGCATGAAGCATCGATTTATTTTTATTGTTTTTTCATATTTTTTTTGTCAGCTTTGCTAGTGCTGGCTGGAGACTGTAATATAACTGCATTTCAGCTCTGTCTGTGCAATAATTCTACCTGGACCATTTAAATCATGTTTGTTCATTAGCCATGAGGGGCTGGGTGAGTGTGCATGTTGAGGAAAGAGCACTTTTGAGTGGATAATGTGAATTTGGGGGATATGCTCCACTTCAGGCTCTGAGAGCAAAGGGATGAGAGGCGAGGGAGTGACCAGAGACAGGGAGCTTGGAGCAGTGAGGGCTGGGGATAAATGGGACACAACTGCAAAAGAGAATGGCAGCAAAATCCTCATAAATGAGGTGGGATGGGAGCACATCCATCTCTTTATGCATGTCAGAAATCAGTGTGATCCTCACCTGGGCTGACCCTGAAGGCAGAGTCCCTCCAAAGGAGGAGAATTTGTCATAACCAGTGTGGTGTTAGAATGGGACCCCAACAAGCACCACCTTGTTTTGTTTTGAGCTATTAATCTGTGAACTTCATGTCTTCAGGGCAAAGGTGATGAGCAAGTTGAGAGCTTGTCCTTACCTGAGAGGAGATTCTGGAAGTGTTTCCCTTCCAGCTGAAGAGATGCTCGTGACCTGGGTCCATCCCAGAAAGCTGGGAGCTGGGGATTTGTGGAGTGTGATTCATCAATTTATTCCAATTACACTCTTTGATGTGAGATGAATCCACTCCACTGACTGCAGTCATTAAAACTCACTGAGAAAGGAGTTCAAAGGGTTCTGAGGTGTAGGTGTTTATATTTTGCCAGATTATTCTCACTCTTAGTGGTCCAGAGTCTTTTAACTTGTAGAGTAACTACAGTTTAAGGGGCACTATTGCAATATTATGTGGTTTCATTAGTGCTCCTTGGGGCAGAATTTGGTCTCTTAAACCAATAAAGTAAGTTTTGTTCTTGTCTGTTTTTGATGCTGGGAATGTTAATGAAGCATTTTCTATTTGTTTGGTTCCCTGATGAGTAATTCTAAAATCATTTTTAAGCACTGTGTTTCTATAGGCTGTTGCAGACACATTGAGTCACTTTTTAAAGCACAGATTCAGTGAAAAGTGAGCAGATGGGCAGATTTTGCATGTTTGTTGTACGGATTGTGGAGCCAGTCTCTGACATGGGTGAAATAACAGTGGGATATTTTTAAATTCAACAGAACAGCAAGCGTACACAAAAGCTTAAACATTATTCATAGCGGTAACTTAGATTCTATAAAAGTTCAAATAGGAAAAAGAAAAAAAAAGAGGCAAATTCACAAAATGCTGTTAAAGCTGGTGTAAAACAGCTGCTAATTTAATCAGGTCACCCGTCCCCCCTCCCCTCCTGGTGATCAGAGCTGGTTCTGCTCTTCTCAGGATGCTGCTTTGGCACAGAGTGACAAAAAGAAGTTGGGACTCAGGACTGTGAGTGGCTGCTTTCCATGACTGGCTTTCCATAACCCAGAACTCCACCTTGTCCTGTCTGCCCTGCATGACCTCTCCCAAATCCTCTGTACAGATCTTTCAAGGTCCCCTTTTCCCCCCTGTATCAGGGAAGGGTTCCCCTTCCCAGGGTGAGCCAGGCTTTGTTGAGATAAGCTTTGCTGCAAGTCAGGAAATAAAAAAAAAAACCCTGGAAAAATCCTTGGGCTGATGAAGAGACATTTTCTGAGAGACCCAGGGAATTCTCAGCCCTTGGATGATAGCAGCTGATCACCACAGTGGTCATCAAACAGAAAATACAAGAGTGGACACTTCAGTGCTTGGCTTTTTTTTTTTAATGGCATCCAAACACATCCATCCAGCACATTCCCACCTCTTTTTCCTGCAGGTATCTCCAGGTGCCATCAGGCCTGTCGTGCACTGCTGGGGTCCAGTGACAAGTCATTAAAAGCAGTCTTAAAAACGGGGAGGATTTGTTTGGCAAAAGAGTCATTTGCCTCCACCCTTCCCTTTAGAATGGCATCCACAAAGCCACGCAGGCAGGAGAGTCTGGTAAGACACAGATTTGGAGGCAGCTCCCAGGAGGGGAGGGAGGAGCAGGGAATGTTTAGCTGTAGAACACGGGCTTGCGCAGGACACGCACCACGTTGTAGGTGTTCAGCCCCGGGGCGTCAAAGCCGGGGGACAAACCCTTGCGGTCGAAGGGGTAGAAGTTGAAGAGCTGCCCGTTCTGCGTCTCCAGTGAGATGGAGGCAGAGCCCAGGTGCAGAACACATGGGAATTCCTTGTCGAAAACGACTTGGAAAACACGATCTTCCAGGTGGTGGAGCTTGATTGTCCGATACTTTTCAGGGATCAGCTCTTCCACGTGAGGCCCGAACTGCTGCATGACCAGCACCCCACCAATTCCAACTTTGATCTCATAGAAAGTCAGGTTGGAATAGGTGTAGTAGCCAACATAAGGGATTGGGTTTGGAGGAGGAACCAAGCTTTTGTCGGCCTCTCTGAAGGCTGTCTCCATGGCAGGGATGAGATACTCGTATGTCTGGGTCACAATGTCCCCACCCTGAGGTCTGGGCCCCGCCATCAGCACGATGAAGCTCAGGCGGAGCTTGGGGATGAGAGAGAAGGTAGCTGAGTAACCATCAAGGTCCCCATCCTTCCTGACAACATCATACCCCAGCTGCTCGTTAATCTCCCAGGGTGTGCCCGTCTTGTTGGCGAAGTATTCAGTGGAGCACTTCAACAGGGGCGTCAGCATCGTCTTCACCGTGTCGGGCTCCAGCAGCCGGCGGTGGTAAGTGCCCAAGAAGACCATGGCCAGCTTGGCCAGGTCAGCAGCCGTGGAGTACATCTGGCCAGAGGGCCGGTACCAGCCCAGGTCGTAGAGTGGGGCCGGCTGCTGGCTGCCGTAGAAGCCCACGGCCATCTGGGAGCGGATGGGCGCCGTGATGTCGAAGCCGGTGTCCTCCATGCCCAGGCGGTCCAGGATGTTCTCTGAGACCCAGCGCTGGTACTGCCCATCAGCAGCGTGGTCAGCCAGCACGTGAGCCATCAGGGAGAAGGCCAGGTTGCTGTAGTGGCATCTGGGAAGGAAGAGGAATATATTGGGATCAGATTTTCATCAGTGGCATGATACCAAGTGGCCTCTTCTTTCCCCTTCTCTTCTTTAGGGGGAAAATTCATATTTTATGGAATGACAGATGCAAGGGAGACAGAGAAAAGCCTCATGTTGTTGCCATGATTTGTTGTTCAATCAAGGAAATGTTTTACAGGAATATCAGCAGAGCTGTTCAGCCCTGGTGCACAGAGAGAGCTGAAGATGGAAAAGAAACAACCCCTCTATATTTGCATAACCTGACTTGCTGTTTATAATTGTTCACCATCCATTCTTTTTAAGAGTTCCAGGTGCTCACCTTAAAGGTCTCAAAATCCCGGGTAAACCTCTTTGGGGATTTGCCATGGGATAATCACTTAGATACCTAAGCTAACTTAAGATGGTAAAAGCACTTAAAAAGCACTTAAAAGCCCACAAAGCAGCATCCAGCAATGTGGAGTCATTAAAGAAACCCGAGTACTCCAGTCTTTAATAACCATGAAGTGATTTAAGTCTTCACACTTGAATGAAGTTTAATGGCATGAAGACATGAAGGGTCATGTTTTTAAAATACGTTTTCAAAATTCGTTATATTTTCAACCCTGTTGGTTTTTTTAATTGTGTGAAGCCACACATCTCATTGAAACCTATTTAGATCATAAATTTGGTACCACTTCAACCTTTTCCAGCCCATTTAATTGAATAAAAGCTTGGTGAGCATATATATTCTTACCCTAAGACTAAGCACATTCTGTATGTAAAACCTTGCGTCTGAAATGGAGCTGAATTTCAACACAGAAAAATGTGTTAAAACATCTATATCAGTGAATTGGAACTTCTTTTGGGAAGAATGATCTGTTAGCTGGGAAATAAAACCAGGAACAAGGAGAGAGAGTGAAAACTCCCAACATATCAATTAAAAAGGTGTTGAGAGACTTTGAGGGGATATCTTTATTTATCTTTATGGGGATCATAAAATAAAGGTACCATTAGAGGTAAGTTACAATAAATATAAATAAAATAAATACAATAAATAAATAAAATAAAAATACCAAAGAAGATGATGGTATTAAAAATCCTAAACTCATTTAAGGAATATCTGTTGTAATGACGTGGGACAGAACTAACACAAGTGACTGGCAGATCCTCAGCCATCCTGGGTAAATTATCTCAGACTGTAATTAATGACCAAACAATTTTGCAGTCTTAGAAAGTTTCTTCCCAGTTAGTTTGAATCCTTCCCCTCATCTGCTGTGCACTGGATCCTGTTGAAGGCTGTTGGGAAGTGTCCAAGGTCAGGCTGGACAGGGTTTGGAGCAACCTGGGATAGTGGAAGGTGTCCCTGGCCATGGCAGAGAGTTGGAAAAATATCCTTTTAAGGTCCCTTCCAACCCAAATCAGTCTGGGATTCCGTGATTCCATGATATTTTGAGTGTTTGCAACCCAGGTAACAGACTTTTAACGGGCTACAGGAATTAAAACAAGCATTCACAAACCTTTTAGACAATTTAGAGACACACAGCTCACCACAGACATGATTTTAACTGAAACCTGTGATGATTAAACTGTTTAAATTAAAGTGCCTTTCCACTTTTGAAAACTTGCATCACTTTAGGCTCATTAAGTGAACTTCAGCAGTTTAATTTGGCTCATCTGGGCTTAAAAAATTAATCCAACCTCCAACAGTCTTCTTTTTTCCAGCCTCTGACAGTCATTTGGGAGGTTTCTTTGGGACTGGCTGCCTTTTACCCACTGCCCATGGGGGCTGGGGATGGGGCTGAAGGTGGAGAAGACATCCAGAACCAAAAGCTCCTAAATAAAAGTATCTGACCTGGTTCCTGGGTCAGCCACCAGGACGTCGTCTTTGAGCAGAGCAAGGGCATCCTGCGTGTTGCCCTTCCAGAGCAGGCTGGTGGATCTCAGCCTCCTGGGCAGACCTGTGGCAAAGAGAGGGAGAAATCATGGAAATGATGGCTGTGGTGAAGAGAGGACAAAGGAAAGCTTCAATGGCAAAATGGGAGCACCATGGGGTGTGCTGCAGCCTGTTTCTGATACCTGAGATCCAGGAGAACATTGAATTTCATACGATGTGAAATTTATGAGCGTGTTTTCATGGTGATAGATGAAAAGTCTTAAGTCACTGGGTGAAAAAGTTAAAGTTTAGAGTTTAAAACAGTTTAGAAAGCAAAAGACAAGATGGAGGATTTAGAATGTTGTCTATTTTCCTTCTTTCTTCTTCATTTTCTTCTTCTAAAGGTTTTTGGGCAGTAGTAGGTGATTGGATAGAAAATGCCACAGTGCAGCACACAGGTGATGGGTCATTGGGTCATTAAGGAAAATAATTTATGTGTCAACTGTTAATTGGATAAAAATAAGTATAAAGATAAAAGAACTGCATAGTTCAGGGCCATTTTGTGCCTTCAAAAGCCAAAGTGAGCCACAAGGCCATTTTGTACCATCAGAAAGAAAAGAGCCAGACTGCAGTGAATTGAACTTGTGCAGGAAGTCTGGAGAGACCTGCCAAGTTTTGTGATAACATCCTGATTTTTGAATCACCCCAGCTCCTCTTCACAGGATCTATGGCTTGCCTCGGCCAGAACTTGGATCACTTTTGGAATGGAATCCTTGCTGCCAATTTGCAACTTGCTTTGATGCGGAGTTTTGGCAGGGAATTGGGAAATGTATGTTCCTGACAGAAAAACGACTCACAATTGTGTGCTCAGAGACCATGTCTTAATCATGGATTCACTAAGTTTGGAAAAGCCCTCCAAGATCACGGAATCCAACCATCAACCCACGTCCCCAAGTGCCACTCCTCACATTTTTTTAATGCCTCCCAGGGTGGTGACTCCACCACTTCCCTTTCTTCCCGGTCTTTGCCAACGCTTTACAAATCTTCCTCTGAAAATCTGATTCCTAATATGGGATCTGAGCATCCCTTGGTGCAGCTTGAGGCCTTCTGCTCTTGTCCTGCATCCTGGCAAAGCTGAACGAGGCCCATTTCTTTTCCTGGCAGCAACACTCTTTTTCCTCAGCTGGCCTGAACTCGGCATTTGAGCTGGAGTGACAGCACTGCTTCTGCCCCTGCTCTGGGGTTATTTGTGCAGCTGCAGGAGCAGAGAAAAGATGCACTGACATCTTCCAATGGACAATGGGCTCCTCCATTTCATACTTGCCCCAGTGGCAGCAAAGAAAACGCTGGAGCAGTGGGAGAGTTCACCAGTCTCCTTGAGGTTCATTGGAAACGATAAACCAGAGCATAATATAATCCAGAGCCATTGATTTCTACCTCGTGGGCTGCTAATTGAAGTGACAAGCAGGTTGTTAATAATTTACAATCGCATCCCATCCTGTCATTCCTGTGGATTTGAAAATCACGGTCTTAACAAGCTGGAGCTTCCCTCCAGCAACGGGCCCATCGAGTGCTGAGGAGAAAAACCTTTGGAGTTACTTTTGTAATATGCAGTGGAGAGCCCAGATAATGAGGATCTATTACAGATCAGTTTCCACAGGAGGAATTTAGATGAAACCTGCTTTACAACGTGTCATGCAGTGCCTTTGATCCCAGTGCTAAGCAGAACTTGTCCCTTTTTGGGGTCTGACACGCGGCAAACGGAAAGCGGAACCGGGAACGTTCCTTTGATTTGCAGTTGGGATGTGGAAACTGTGCATCTCCTTCTGCTGAATTGTCAAGGTCCAAGGGTTGGTGTGTCCTGTGGGGGTGCTCTGGGAAATTTGGGCCACATTCTAAAATCCAAAAATACACAGACGCATAAAAGGAGCTGAGCAGGGGCACAAATCCAGCACGGTGATGGGAGCAGTGGAAGGGCTGCACAGTACAAGAAATTATGCCGTGACCAGCTACTCTTCTGATTTATGCTCCTAACAACATTTCTGGGGTGCATTTCACACCTCCCTGAGTGACAGGAGCAGTCAGAGCAGCTTTACCAGGCAGAATTGCTTCATCAGGCTGGGTAGAGCCACACCTTGTCTGCAGGGAGAGGGGCTGGGCAGGGATGTGGCCACTGGCCACTTTGGGCTGTTCATCTGCTTCTTTCCAGGTTTCATTTCATCTTGGGGAGCCCTCATTTTCATATTGGCTTGCTTCAAATGGTGCTATACCCCATCCTGAGGTCCTGTAAGTTGCAGACATGCTATTTTGACTTTAAATCCTAATTTTAGGGCATTTATTCCGATCTGGAAAAATGCAAGTGTTACAGAGATTAACCAAAACACCACAGCTGTGATATCAGCACAGTGTCTTTGGCCACCACATTTTGTAATCCCTCAGTCAAGTCTTAGCAGCTTTGTTTCTGAGGAAGGTGGAAGTTCTTAGTCCTGTGAGTCCCTTCTCCCTTCATGTAGGAGTTCCCCAATTCTGAAGGTAGCAGCAGATTAACACTTCTCTGACAGCAAATGCCAAGCTATTAATAGCCCAGGAATCCCGGATCAGGAACCACACTGACAGCTAAATTTAGCTCAGAAATCAAAGTCTTTCTATTCAAAGCAAAGAGGTTTGACCCTCAACTCTACATCTCAGCAAAATGAGAGCACTCAGGGCTGGAGTACAAAACATTGCTCTGCAATTGGAGCCTGGTTTCAAGTCATGGTACTGTGGAGAAAGGAACCTGTGTTCACCTGAGAGGAATCTGTGTTCTCCTGAAAGGAATCTGTGTTCACCTGAGAGGAATCTGTGTTCACCTGAAAGGAATCTGTGTTCACCTGAAAGGAATCTGTGCTCACCTGAAAGGAATCTGTGTTCACCTGAGAGGAATCTGTGTTCACCTGAGAGGAATCTGTGTTCACCTGAAAGGAATCTGT